GTTCACTCTTTACTCTATGCCTGGTTGTCTTCCCAAGAGTTGGATGGATTTATTTTCTAACCAATTGCGTGATTTGCTTTATTAGATTTTGAAGAAAAGACAAACTTTAAAGAGAAGGAGGGTGGAGCAGCCTAAAAGCATTGATCAACCGGTGCCAAAGAAGAGGAGTGAACAACGGTCGGAGAGTGAAAAAGCTTTGAAGAAGAACTCTTCGAGAGGTTCAGTTATTCAAGCTACTCCACTTGTTGCAGACACGGTCCTTCAATCGCACTCTAAAGATTTAACTTATCTACACAACCGTGTTAGTATGTTGCCTAGTGACACTCCTATTGAAGTTGCACTACCTAAGGCATTGTTCCACTATGATGACGATGCAATTGCATGGCTCATCAAAGAAGATGTGAAGGAATTTCTAAGTGGTTCAATGCTTAACAGTTCCCTCATTCAAACATTCATGAGGTAATTCAATGCCGCTCAAATTATGTTATTCAGATTAGTGGTGATTGTCGTTTATTTTTCCATTAATATTCTATTATCATGCATGCAGAGCATTATAGGAGCACTTACGTGACATTGATTCTCCGTGTCAAGTTGGGTGGTTATGCCCCGAGTAGATCTGCACTACTAGAATCTTAGGCAACCACCCTGACGTGTTGTACTATGTTGAACGGAGTATCAAGGAATTAGTGCGTGTGGGAGACAAGTTCATATTCACCCCATGTTATGAGGAGTACGTCTAAACATGTCAAATTCATTTGTTTCCCCTGATTATATGTTGTACATGGATAATTATTGATTTGTTTGTCTATTGTGAATTTGTGTAGTTTGCATTGGACCCTGTTGGTGATTTGTGTTTCTAGTAACACAATCTTCCTTTTTGATTCAGCTCGATTGCCTCATCCAAAAAAGCTCCTCGTGAAGTCCATACTGCAAAAGTAAATAAAGCTACCTAGTGTTGATTATCATTACCTAACTCATTTATTAGTCATACTAATCAAATTTGAACTTACTTTTCTATAGTGTTATGAAGAAGATAAATTGTCGAGCTCCTCAAGGTCCCACATGGAAATCACCGATGGTAATGCCACATGATATTGTGATTTTCGTAATAAACAATGCGTAAAATGTTACTAATTTGCTATGCATGTTTGATTCATGTACTTTGTTCCTATGCTAGTGTGCACAACAAGATAACGGAGTTGATTGTGGCCTATATGTGATGAGATTCATGTTTGACATAGTGAGTCGTTATACAGACACACTACAGCTTGATGAGATATGCCATTGACTTAGTTTATTTGCTCTTAGCATGTGATTTGACAAGAAATGTAGGAAATAGGCATCCTAGTAGTCATATAGGCCTTACTTGGGCCATTTTGGATCAAAATGCGTCCTAAAACACCTGAATTACTCAATTCACGTAGTTTCAAGCCTTATCCGCCTATAACTAAGTAATAATGACATGTTATGTGTAAAAATGTGTTGATTTGACAAGAAATGTAGGAAATAGGCATCCTGGTAGTCATATAGGTCTTACTTGGGCCATTTTGGATCAAAATGCTTGAATTGCTCAATTCATGTAATTTCAAGCCTTAGCCGCCTATAACTAAGTAATAATGACATGTTATGAGTAACAATGAGTTGATTTGACAAGAAATGTAGGAAATAGGCATCCTAGAAGTCATATAGGCCTTAGTTGGGCCATTTTGGATCAAAATGCGTCCTAAAACACTTGAATTGCTCTTTTCATGTGATTTTAAGCCTTAGCCGCCTATAACTAAGTAATAATGACATTTTATGAGTAACAATGAGTTGTTTTGACAATAAATGTAGGGAATAGGCATCCTAGTAGTCATATAGGCCTTACTTGGGCCATTTTGGACCAAAATGCATCCTAAAGCACTTGAATTGTTCTTTTCATGTGATTCCAAGCCTTACCGCCTATAACTAAGCAATAATGACATCTTATGAGTAAAAATGAGTTGATTTGACAAGAAATGTAGGAAATAGGCATCCTAGTAGTCATATAGGCCTTACTTGGGCCATTTTGGATCAAAATGCATCCTAAAACACTTAAATTGCCCAATTCATGTGATTTCAAGCATTAGCCGCCTATAACTAAGTAATAATGACATGTTATGAGTAACAATGAGTTGAATTGACAAGAAATGTAGGAAATAGGCATCCTAGTAGTCATATAGGCCTTACTTGCGCCATTTTGGATCAAAATGCATCCTAAAAAACTTGAATTGCTCAATTCATGTCATTTCAAGCCTTAGCCGCCTATAACAAAGTAATAATGACAAGAAATGTTTTAATAATGACAAGTAATAATAACTAAGTAATAATGACATGTTATGAGTAACAATGTGTTGATTTGACAAGAAATGTAGGAAATAGGCATCCTAGTAATCATATAGGCCATGCTTGGGCCATTTTGGATCAATATGTGTCCTAAAACACTTGAATTGCTCAATTCATGTAATTTCAAGCCTTAGCCGCATATAACTAAGTAATATTGACATGTTTTGAGAAAGAATGAGTTCATTTGATAAGAAATGTAGAAAATAGGCGAAGTAGTAGTCATATTATAGGCCTAACTATGTAGTTTTTGCCTAAGTGAACTTGTAAATGTATTTTTACATGCATAACCTAAGTAATTACTTATAACATAATTTTTGTTTGTTCCAAGTTTTGCAAGGTACAAAAGAGAGATCTATTGATAAGCAAGGAACTTAATGAAGTTCGAGACATGTTGGCGTCTTTCATCACCTTTAATGTGTAAATATCATGTCTATTGGAATTTATATTTTGTTAACTTTTTAACTACATTATTAATTAGTATTGTTTGTAAATATGACACTTCTTCTTTTTTTGAGGAATTGTAAATACAGATGACCCTTCATTGTATTGCATTTGGGAATATTAATTAATATTTATGTATTATTTTTATTATTTCAATTTAGAAATTATTATTATTATTATTATTATTATTATTATTATTGTTGTTGTTGTTGTTGTTGTTGTTGTTGTTGTTGTTGTTGTTGTTGTTGTTGTTGTTGTTGTTGTTGTTGTTGTTATTATTGTTATTATTGTTATTATTATTATTATTATAATAATTATAATTATAATTATTATTGTTATTATAATATATTATAATAATGGTAGAATTATTAATGCAGGATGTACAGGTTTTTTTATTATTATTATTAGTATTAATATTATTATTTATTGCCGATAAAAAAACACAGTTAAAGGCACCGGTTCAGGCTTCAAACCGGTGCCAATTGTATTGAAAAAAAAAGCGAGCCATGACCTTTTAGCACCGGTTAACCGGTGCCAAAGAGGGTATTTCGCACCGGTTAACCGGTGCTGGATCTCTGAATTGCCACCGGTTTTGAACCGGAGCGAAATCTTCAGAGATTTGTCATCCCTCAAATTTGGAACGGTTGAAAACCGGTGCGCAAAGGGGGGTTTGAACCGGTGCTAAAGACCATTTTTCGCCTAGTGGCAAAATTAATTCCAGTAGTGAAAATTATTTAGTTTAGCAAAAATAAGGTGTTCCTAATTTCTTTTTTTTTAAAAAAAAAAAAGTGTTCCTAATTTCATAGAAGACTAAACCACTAACAAATTAACACATGACCCAACAAAGTATTAAACCCACTAGCTTACCAAGTAATAGCCACGTAACTGAGAAATGTTAGGAAACATATTCCACAACTTTGAAGCATATAACAATTTAACACAATCCGCATATGTCTGTCATATGGTACGCGGTGATCCAAAAAGAATTGGCAAGGTTGTGGAATTTATGCGGTGTTTGAGAGTAGAAAGGAGGGCAAAGTTATGATATGGTGGGGTTGTGTAGGTTTTAAGCATGGCGTAGGTGGTGTGGTGTGGTGATGGCTAGAAGGTGTTGGTCTTGGTGGTTGTGGTAGCTAGGATGCATAGTGAAGTGTGGAGGGTTAATGGTTGCTAGGTATGACAATATTATATACTTTGTATAATATCCATTGATTTGATCCATTAGTTTTAAAAGTTCTGTTAAAATCAAGAAATAAAATAGGTTTGCCAACTGCTCAATGGACTAAATCTTGATTTAAATGGTTGAGAACGAGCAATATGATGGATTGATGGATCAAATCGAACATGGATCGGATGGAATGGAGGATGGATGTGAGTGAAGCTTCACCCAATCTGAACCCAATCCATTGATGACATCAATCTCTACTATAGGCCTATAGAGACTATGGTGGGGTTTCTGACCATGGTGATACGGTGGTGGTGGTGGGCTGAGCTGAGGTGAGAGAAAAAAAAAGGGGGTATGTAACGAAAGGTCCAACTGATCATTATTATCATTTACAATTTTACATACAATGACGGTATGTATGTGTTACTACGTGGAGAGAATTGATCCTACATCTTCTTAATTTATCTTTAACATTAAATTTTAATTCCATACGAATCATACTTAAGTCTATACGAGTAATATGAGATTTATTGACAAAATTATGATATCCTTTTCAATTTGCATCGCTTGATCCATAAGCCAATGAATGAAGAAGCTTAGACTTAAAGTGAATTCAATCATCATCAATTTAACCCAATAAGTTGAACCTCAATTAACGTGAAAAAAATTAAGGTCAATTGATAACCTCAGTTAATGTACTGTGAAGGAAGATTTGATTGATTGATGTACTAGTCATTAGGACTTTTTGTTCAAATTTGACTATGGTCAATTTTGTGTTATACACAATAATTATTAATTTTGAATAATACCTCTAATTCAGATTACTCGCAGCAAAGAGGGTGCATGCAAACTCCTAGGCAAAAGATAGAAAGCATGATTATTGAAAAATAAGGATATATGCTTAACTATTAATCCAACCCAAAGAAAAATAAAAAATAAAAATAAATTCAACCTTAATTAAATTAAATAACCCATCACCACCGACACCACCAAGCAGCGCTGAAACCAACCACCACCACCCAGCATCACCGAAACCACCACCCACCACCACCACCCAGCATCGAACCCCACGAACCCAGCACCACCGACGCACCCAGCACTACCACAAACCTAGCCGCAACAACCCACCGTACCACCCTGCACAATCAAAACCCAGAACAAACAATCGAACCCAGAAGATCAATCAAACCCACAATCGAAACCAAAACCAAACCCACAATCGAAACCAAAACCGAACCCTCAATCAAACTCACGAACCCACGATGCCACCGCACCCACGAACCCAGCAACCACGAACAAACCAACCACAAACCCACAAATCCTTCTCTATCATCAATTAAAGCTTTAATTGGTCAAATTTAACCATCAAAACTCTAGATCTAGAGTTTTGATGGTTAAATATGACTATAAAACCTTCGAATTTGGGTTTCATCAGCAATGAGGAAACAAAAAGCAAAGGAAGAGAGAGAAAATAGAGGCGGCGATGAAGGTGGTGGTTGCCATTGAAGATGATGGTGGTAGTGATCGGTGGTAGTGGTGGTGGTGATGGTGGTGGTTGCCATTGAAGGTGGTGGTTGAATGTAGATGTTGAATTATGAAGGAAGAGAGAGAAAACTTATGAAGGAAGATGTTGAATGTAGATGGAGGAGGGAAATGAATTTGGTGGTAAGGTGAAATTAATTAACCTTAGGGTTTAATGTAATAAGAACATATTCATAGTTTAATTAGGATGTTTTAAAAAAAACAGTAAAGGTAAAATGTCATTTCGCAGCCAAAAACTTATTGGTAAGAAAATATTTGTTGCGAGTAATGTAAAGCGGCCATTTTTGACAAATGTTGCGAGTAATATGAAGCGGAGGTAGTAAAAAAGATTCAACTTAAAAATTTAGAATTAGTCACTCAATCATTACACTACATACTAGTTATTATTACCTTGAGAGGTTCAACTCATTCAAGTTTAGAAATACAGTACAATTGTTTGCATTATTTTACAATACTCAATTTCCCATGTAATATTTGATAAGAATAGATCGAGTTTAATAATAATTCATATACAAGAATACACCTTATTTGCTCTTGAACAGCCCCGTCCTAAAACAAAAAAAAAAAAAAAAAAAAAAAAATCCTTCTTGTACATATATATATCAATCCCATGGTCAAAATGATGCTTCATAAACCAAGATAAAATGACCAAATTTCATCTCTGCATATGAATGAAAGAACCAAAAGATGTTGCATTTTCTTTTGGTATAAGGTCTCTTCGAATAGAATCAATTGATCAGCCATTTGATGAAAACTTAAGAATCGCCTTTCATGCTATGAATAGGTTAAATTTCTAGAACAATAACTGCAACAAAGAGAAAAATCCAGTCATGGTTACATATTGTAATCATTTGATTTTGTTCATAAATCTAAGGCGAATTAAAGCAAGGATGTATATAGTCATTAAGGCATGGTAAGAAAAATGCCCCTCGATATGGTAAGGAAAATACCTATTTTGTCCGCATATATATTCACATACACCGAATATTTATAAAATGACTTCAATTAGTGCGTGGATAATGTTTTAAATTATTGTGAATATATATATATATATATATATATATATATATATATATATATATATATATATATATATATATATATATATATATATATATATATATATATATATATATATATATATATATATATATATGAGTGGTGTATCATTCATCTTTTGCAAAAAATTTGGGGCATTCAAAATTGTAATGTACCAATCAAGTAACCCTTCAATCGATATAAAAGTGACATCAATTGGCTAAAACACTCCTTTAAACCTGTGATAAGGATTAGAAAAGGTTAAAAAAACAATAAAATACTTTTAAAGGTTGCATATAAGCATTTAATACATTTTCTAAATAGCAATAATTTAAAATTTTATGACAAAATCACTCATAAATTGATATCGCTAATATTTGATTTAACTTAATATTTCAACTTTTAGGATTCTTATGTGCTCATGCATATGTTGTTTTTTCTAATTTCTTTCATTAGGATTTGTTACATAGAGAGAGAAAAAGAAGCCTTTATATTACCTTAATCTTATCTTAATCGATCATATGTAAATCTTACTAGATACATAAATGTAATTATGATTAGTAACACTTACATTCTGTATCACTTTTGTCCCACTTGATTCTGTTCTCTCTTTCGATGTCAAGTTCATCTTCATCATCATCATAGTTGCAACTTTCTGTTTGTACATTCCCCAAATACCTCTTTTTTGACATATTTGGACAAGAAGTTTGGGGATATATCTTCTTTCGAAGCATTGCTCTCAAGATCTACAAGATTCAATGAACAATCATTAATCATGAATCTCTAGTCGCGTAAATATATTTTTACTTTTAAGAAACGGTTTAAACTGATAAGTAATTATGCATTTATAATATTTTAACGGACAAATAATAGCTTAGGAAATTTTAAAAAAAAGGTTACGTTTGTTAAGTAGTCGGATAATAACATAGAAAGAAGGGATTTGAATTTGTTGAATGTATGGTTACCTTACTAATTCTCGACTTAGGGACCGTAAGAGTTGGATCTTTTAGACTACGTGTTGGCCCCATCCCTCCAACACCACAAATGAACGCCTTCTTAAGGAGGAATTTCAATGACTTTTTACCAATAAGTTTACTACCATTGTAGTCCAAGTACACATCTTTGGCTTTATTGTTGTTAGACAAGACCATTGTATCATCATGTTGATAGTCCGATTGGTCTTCGTCTTCATCATCCTCTTCTTCGTCGTCCTCTTTCCTATTAGCATCTAAACTCGATAAACAATTGAGATCATTTGAGGACATTAACGCGTTCAACTCCTTTTGAAGCTCTTTAACCTCTTCCAATGTGAAGTCAAGTATAGGGTTTTGAGATGATGGAGGAGAATTCTCTTTAATATTATCATCTTTTGTTGATTTATTAAAAAGTGTACCGATTGATAGAAATCCTTGAGGCCAATCACTAAACTCCTCTTTCTGAGCTCCTAATTGTGGAGTTTGATCTATAGAAAAGGGACAATATAATTGGTTAGTGAAGCATTCCCAAAAAACATGGCAAAAGATCTAACTATATACTACACTAGAAAAGTACTGTAATTAATCAAGGATTAGGATATGTAATTAAATCTAGGACCACCTTAACTATCTACATTGCCCAACACTACCGTACCCCTCCTCTTTTAAGGGGGAAAAAAAAGAGAATCATATGTTTGTATATAACTCTTGTAAATTCCTTATATCAAATACACATATATATGTCAGTGATGCAACTCTCTCATAACCCCTGAAATATGATGGGGTTTAACATATCAAATTATAAGACAAGTCTTGATCAAAAGCTAAAAATTGATTACTCGTAACTTGATCCACATAAGCTATATACAACAGTTACACTAGATATATCCAGGGGTGGAGGAACTCACTTTTGTTAGATGCATGAACCTTTGTACTACTAGTATTGTTGCTTTGTGATCTTCCATTGAACTTGCCATGCATCCAGCCGAAAAGCTACATAAACAAGTAAAACAACAACACAAACAAAAATAGTGATTAATAAGAATAAAATCTACACCTAAAATAGAAAATTAATCTAAGATTCCAAATTTTGGTACATGCATTTAAATTTATAAATATTTTAACAACATACCTTCATTATTAGGACAAATGAGATTCTTGAATTGAAGCAATAAGAAATTTAGTTGAAAGGGGGCTTACAAAAACAAAGTGTTTAAAAATAAATAGAGTTTTGTTAAGCCAATGTGAGCTAAATAAGTAGGACAACATTATATAGAAGTGAGCTTTCATGGGAAAATTCCATAGCCAAATCACTACTTGCTAATTTGGTTCAAGTTCCCATGTCATGCATTTTGTCGCTTTCCAGCTTTCTCTAAACTCTTTCTTTAATTAATTATCTTAATTAATGTTATATGTAAACCTTAGGGCAATATATAAGCATTAAATACACTCTTAAAAATTGTATAAAACTAAGAATTTATGACAAAAACACGCGTAAATTAGTGTAATTAGTGTTTATATTTTTATGATTTTCTAAATTTATACGATTTTCTAGTGTGTATTTAATGCTTATATGTAGCTCTAAAAACTATGTATAGCATTTTCTTTTAACTATTTCCATCTCAATTGTCTCACCTCAAAAAATAAAAAATAAAATACAAGAAAATAATAACAAGATCACCTCAATCGTCTACATGATCCTTATGGTATTTCATTTGCCAATTATTATAAGTTTTTAATTACCACCATTTTTACAACATTGGATTGGTTGTATTGTGATAAGTCCGGCCCCTTGTATTCTATAACCACTTATAAACTTATCAACATATAATAACATAATACGGAGTATATTATTCTATCTGTATCTAAATATACGCAATGCAACTTGAGATAAAAGGAGTAAAAGTTTGAAGTCATGGATCAAAAAAAAAAAACCCTAATGCCAGGGATTGAGTCGATGTTACTACAGCATTGGCCAGAAATGAAGAATTATTGTCAATAATTTTTTTCTTAACTATATTAATTAGCAAGTACATAAACGCTTGTAAGAAGGCTTGAACCTAAGACTTTTAGTACAAACTCAATGCATTACCATTATGACAAAGCTAATTTAATGTTATTTAATACATTAAAATTGTATTTAACCCATAAATTTACATCTTTACCTAAATAAAATAAAATAAAAAAATCAATTTTTGGCGGAGTCGGTGCCACCTGAGCCCCTTAATAGGTCCGCCCCTGCATTTAAGCATTAGTAGTCTCTCCCGTTTCACATTATTTGACCATTTTATATTCTACTAACTAGCTTAGCTTAGTTCTGTCTCATACGGAGTATTACTTCATAGCTAATGCATGCAATCCTTATTACCATGAAGAAAAATCAATTTTACATTTCCAATAAATTAATTAAATAAAAGTCTTCGAAAATAAATATAGAACTAAATTATTTATTACCTTACTATTTGAACCCATGCATTCACAATCCTCTTTGCATAGACAATAAACATAAGCTAGCTAATAAGCATTTACTTCCACAGAGTTTCTTGCTAGTTTCCGATCCAAAACTTCAACTTTTTGTTCAAAAAACAATATCTTGCTCATAGTATGAAGACAAACCGAAAGAGTTTGCAAGCTAAGGAGAATATTTTTGAGGGAATTTGATTTATTTTGATGAACAAGATGAGGTAACCCTAATGTTTATGGTATGGACAGAAATAAAGGAAGTGGGGTGTGTACTATTTCACAGCTCATGGGACTTCTAATTTGGGGGGTGCATGCCCCATGCTCAATTATCATGAAAACAACCCTAAGTTGTCCACCAGAAATGTCCCACATTGCCATACAATAATTGTGTGCTACACCTTGCTTCCTATGCATTTTCCTATCATTTATATGATCTTGTCTATGATGAAGACAAGAATGTAATGTTCATACATATAATATACTATTGTGATTGATTATATCCAAGGTCCAGGAAACTTTAATAATAGAAATTTGTGAATAGTAAAGTGAGATGTCAATTGATCTTACGTGTGTTATTTTCGACTTTACTTTTTCTGATAGCCTAGTTTGATAAATGATTTTTTTAAAAGTGTAATTGGATGAAGGCACTTTCATGTGGTCAAATAACGAAAATTCATGTTAATTGGTTACGATTCTCAACTGATGGTGTTAGTGCGTGATTGTAACGGACTAGGAGGTCATTTGTTTTTTTATTTGTGTAGAACATAGACAACAAACTACATCCAACATAAATATAAGAAGATGAACGTACATCATATACACGTAGTTTGGTTAACATAACCTACTCCACCTGGCTAAAGACAATTTTTTCTTCTTTATTTCCATGAAGGATAAAAGTAAAGAAGCAATTAAGGATCGAAGAAATTTAAGTTGGTAATTTGGAAATTAGACTTGAAGTGCTTTCCAGCGATAGGTCACACGCCTCAAGAAAGTTCCTTGCCAGAATTTGAGTAACGACCTTCGAAAAACAGCCGTGCGAACTTGCTCGCCGCCCAAGCATCTTCCCCCCAACTAGATCTACACGACAAATTGTCTGAGGCAGCTCACTTGCCCCGAAAAATTTAATGAATGCCTACTCTCTTCGTTTCAAGATAAATGCTCGATTTGACTTTTGCACTATTCACACACACATGCGCGCGCACACACACACACACCACTTTGACCTCTGTTTGTACATAATACATAAGATTAAATATAGTTATCTGAGTATTTATTTGAATCGCTTCAATGTATAATTTTCAAACATCCACTTATATTAATTTATATATGTTGTATAAAAGAAGATATTATTATTGGTCAAAATTCTACATTGAAAAAATGTATCGGTCAAACTTGGACCATTTATTTTGAAACATAGGGAGTAGCACTCGAACTTGTTTGCGAGTGTACAACCAGCATTTAAGTCACGTTCGGTTTGTCATCACCATGTCTTCATTTCACAATATCATCTATCGTCCAATGATATTGTAGCTTATGATTTTATTATTTTTATTTATTTCATCTTTAGAATTTAGGAAGTCACTCAAGAGATTGTTTTATTTTCTAAGATGCTTTTTATTACTCTCCCTGTTTTCCTAAATTATACTTAGTTACTCTAGCAACGCAAACCAAGGAAAAATGGAAATGAGGACCATACATGTCAATACTTTTGCTTTAAACATGAGAGAGGTATAACATAATTGGGTTTCAAAAAAATTAAACATAATTGGGTCCCACAAAATAAGGTTATATATAGAGGTGATCATGGGTCAGGTCAGGCTGAGCTTTGCCCAAAATGGATCATTTCAGGTCTATACTTTGAGTTGGGCCCAACTTCTCAAAAACGGCTGTTTTTTAGAGCCAAAATATTAACTAAAATTGGTTTTTTTTGGGCTGCCCATAACCCGGGAAAAAATAAAATAAAAAAGGTCGAGTTGAGTGCGGAATTTAGTCCCAAAAAAGTTAACTAAACTGCCCTTTTATGGGCCCGGCTGGACTAGCAGGTTTGATCAGGTTGTAGATGATAATAAAAATTGAATAAAGGTTATTATAAAAGGAATGAATAAAGAAAAAGTGAACATAACTTAGAAAAACAGATGAAAATAAAAAGTGAGTAGGAGGAAGTATTTTTTACATTAGTTATAATTAGTTTTCTCTTAGGATGATTTTTCCATGAATTGTTCCAGCTTGTAATTGCTAAAGATACTTTAGTTCTTTCTCTATTATTCATTTACCTTAACTTATAATTAATTTCTCACACAAAAATCTCCTAAGAGGGCGTATGGTTCACATAATGATATGAGTTTGGAATCACGAATGAAATAAAAGTACATTTTTAATATTTTTGTAATATAAAAATTAAAAAGTAGAAATAATAATTTCCTTAATTAGTGAAAAGAATTAGAAGAATTGGTGTAAAATCACATGGTGTTCATCCTATAGTCTAGACAAAGAAGGCCAAGAAACAGTTTAACCATACGATCGGAGGATTAAAAAAATTAATAAATGACATCATCAAATCCAGGTGTCAAACGACAGTACTGTTGATGGATTCTTAATTATTATATCAAATCAACACGTGTGTCCAAGATTTATCTTGCCGTACAATTTGTTAGGTTGTCTGTCTATTCAATACAAATTTAGAAACAACTACCCTACTTTCTTCCCTAATTTTCTTCATTTTATTTTCTATTTTTAACACTTTTCATTTTCTAAATTTTTTTTACTGTACAATATACAGTGTTATTCAGGTTTTTTACCACATTGATTCATGGGATTAGGGTGTGTCTTTACGCAAATGTTTCACTTTATGCTGATACAATTGGTCAATTGACTAATAACATTAGTTTTACAATTCCAAAATCCAAAAGAATTAAAAAAAAATAATTAAATGATTAATAACATCGATCCACTTAAAAATATGTTTCAATTGTACTTTTGAAATTATACTTGACAATATATTTCTGTTGCTAATGTTTTCACTAACATTTGACTAATGTTAAAACTATGATATGTACATGATTTTAAGGATTATTTAACAAAATACAAAGGAGTATAAATAAGAAGTTGTTGGTTTAGTGTTACCGAAATTTTATAAGTCTAATTAATTACTCCCTCCGTCACTTTATTTTTGCCCCATTGTCATTTTTTGGGTCAAACTTTGACCATAATTTACCGTTAATATATAAAAGATAATATAGTCATGAGTGGTCTTGTTAGATTTGTCTCATTGTATATATTATTAATATCATGTTTTTATAATTTTTACGTATATGGAAATAAAGATATAGACGTTTTAAAACGCATCTTAGAGATCGCGCACAGTCAAATAGGGCAAAAAAATAAGGATAGAGGGAGTACATCTCAAAGTTTCTAGAAAACGCTACCATGTTGAGAATTGGCGGAAATTTGTGGAAGAATCTAGAATGTTAATGAGATTCTAGATTTACGTGACAATTTAAAAAGCAAATATGTAGAAGTTTCTACCCACTTCTTTCACCTACGTACATCATCTATAAATATAAATGTTGGACATCATTTGGTAGCATGCGTCCACCTACATCATCCTCCAATGCTCCGATACTATTATACACTTTGTGAGTGTATGTCCCTCCATAATATTTCGGCTTTTGAGAATTTATTTACACATATCTAAGATATCATGATCAAAGTATCTACTTACACACAATTAATCTTCATAATCCAATGCAATATCCTTACATATTTCTCCTTTGTTAGTTGTAGTGAGAGTTTTTAGTATATGTAATACTCACCCCTTATAATTTTAGGGTACTTTGTAGACACATATTTTCATATATTGGATTATTTTTTGAATGCTCATCATTTGTGGATTTATATTAAATATTAGGGGGATAACGCGCGCGATGCGCACACCATAGCTTATTATGTACGAAAATCTCTTTCAATTTGGCCTTAAATCACAACTTAATTATTGGTAATATTAATGAGGGGAAATATGTAAACAAATATTTTTAGAGTATAAATGTCCGCACACTGTTCTTTAAGTGTTAAAAAAAGAGGTAATTAATATTAATGATGATAGATAAATAAGTAAATAAACATTTTAGAAGGTATAATTGTCCAAACACTATTCATAAGTGTTATCTCAAATTTTTTAAAAGGTAAGGATTCATCCCAAATTCACAATAAATCAACATAATTAATTGTAAGTCAAAATAGTTGAGCAAAATGAACGAATGAATTATTACCTGGATTATCCGAAGGAGAAATTAGAGGCTTGTTCGTGTTATTGTCAGTCTGTGATGAGACATGTTGAATCATAGGATTTTTTTTTTTAGGGTTTTGGTTATTGTTGCTTGTCGATCAACCTCTAATAAAACATATTCCTTTGACTCGTTATACTGGTATATATTAGGCATTTTATAGCTTAGAGATACTCCGAATAACATAAGATATATATACAATTATTATTTTTTTGCATTTTTTTTATAGAGATATACACCAGTATTTGAAATGCATTATATTTTTTTTTTTGTTGTTTCTTTTTTTTTCACCGCCAATTATATGTACCGGCTACAATGGCTACACTTTATACTCTTTAACTCAAAATGAAAATGTAACAACCGATATCAAATTTCCTATAATTTAGGGTTGTTCATCAATTTAAAAATCATTGAACATTTTACATGTGATATTACGTTTATCACAAAAAAAAAAAAAAAAAAAAAAAAAAAAAAAAAAAGTGATACTACGGTAATATAACAAATTTATCTGTTTGGGTTGACTTCGAACCGTTAGATGTTGGGCTTGAATTCCTCTTAACAATAATAATCCACTTTTAATACTACGATACAAACTTAATCTAACTCTAAAACAAAATTTTGATTCAAATAACCAATCGTTTGATAATTTGTTTAAATAAACCATTTGATTAACTCAGAATATATAACACCACTTTTCTTCGCATTCTTCTTTTTAACGACGATCTATGTAAAATTCGATGTTGCTTAGTTTACTCCAACAATACATTTGATTATATCTTATAGCTTAATTTATCTTATTGGGTACTTATGGGCCGTTTGGTTTACACGGGGTAAACGAAATAGAATCAACAAATGGAAAGAAAGAGAAAGGAAAGTAAATCCCTTATTTTTCGGGTGG